CCTTCGGGTGGCATGGCAGCTAGGCACCGAAAGGCTGCTACAGCTGAACGCTTTCTTTCTTTCTCAGTAGATGAATCAAAACAAACCCTTATCGAACTCACGCCGCTGTTATCAACTTTCTTACTCTATTAAGTCGGGAATCAGCCTGCTCTTGCTCAGACCTTGTTCTCTTCCAATCAGTGTATACCACGGCCCGAGTATTATGCATGCCAGACCATACATCATACCCAGCTCGGGATGAACTCAGGCTTCTCACACTTTATTGTACCGGTGCCTGGGAAAAATAAATCGTTTAGCTATAGCACCCTTTCGATGCCTAGCTGCCGTGCCACACGAAGGCTAGGATACTGCCAGGTTGCCCAAGCCTAGATAGGGGAAGTCGAGAGGCAGAGGTCTGGTTAGAACTACGGGCCTTCCGGTCAGTAAATTCGCGCTCTTGCCACTTGGTCCATCTTGCCCTATTGGTGTCTAGTGGTCCTGCTGTCATGGCTGGTGGTAGTGACGGCGTGGAAGTTATGCTTAACCCTAGAACGTGAGTGGATTCTAGTAAACAGTCGTCCGTGAGCTCTCAAGTCGACTGATTCAATTAAGGTCGATACTTCTGGATGTGGTAGTTTTTTGTATCACGATACTCTCCGTCGGACGGCAGCCCTGAGGTTGAGAAAGACAACTTATATCGGGGTTTTTTCAAGGTTTCTTCGGCAAGCGAGAGATAGATATTGTGATTCTGGCTAGTGATATGGATGTCCAAGTCGGCGGACAATATCTCGGTGGAGTCCATCTTCATAATTCACTTGAGGTTGATTGTCACCCCACAGTTATATTCTGTGTATCATGTTTTTATCCTGCACAGACTTTCAACATAGAGGTTCTCACACTCACCTGGAGACCACCAACTTCAAACCAATCCTGGATTCATTTGAGCCACGTGGCAGTCAGCTGGGGGCTGATAGCTTCTGCACAAGACTCGTTTATTTTGGAGTACACCAGTCGACTCTGATCACGGCATTGTGGGGCACGTCTACCTATGCGATTTCCCCTGGAACACGCTGGCTGATGCTAGGCTCTTCAGTTCGCCACATGTTTAGTGTCTCTCTGTAGCCCAACAATATGGCGTCGAGTTCGCTGAAAACCTTTCAGAACTCAACGGGCATATGTCTCATGCGTCCCGTGTGTCTGTGGCAGACTGGCTATATACGCTCTCCACTCCCGTTTCTATCAAACCCCATCGGGAGTTGTTCAAAACGGGTTGACAGAATCGGAGCACTATTGTTTCAATACCGTTGTCGCCATCTCGGTGTTTTGCTTAGTCGAGATGTGTATCGTGTGGTCTTCTCGATAATGAAGTTCAAGTTGGGTTTTGAGATTCGCTGGCTTACACAAGGATGAGCATTTTGGCACACTCTAGGCTAGAACACTCCACGGTCACTGATTGATTATTTTTACCATGGGAACCTGTTTATTTACACGAGCAGGATGTGCCTTCTTACTAATAATTGTCTATTACTCAAGAAAGCATTGGTTTTGTCTTCGTTTGATAAACCCCACGATAATATTTCATGCCGATGGGTCAGTCATTTTGTTTCTCTTGTAGCCATTGTTTCATGGCCACAGAGCGCAGTAGACTGACTGTTGTGGGAAATGATGCTTTTGCCAACGATGATTTTTCGAAGCTCATTGCAGTAAGTTATTTACTCTTGGTGCCTTTTGACGCTGGTGCATTTTTAGAAACTGTCTGGACGGTTTGCCATAGCCTATCTGCCAGATATTGCTGCATGTCTTGCGCGCACTCGTCGCGAGAAGGAATACGAGCCGACAGTGAGCGATTGCGATTGGTTCCTCTTCTCCGATTTCACCGACTGCACTGATCTGCACTGCCTTGTTTCCCTGCTCCCTCGCGCTCGAATAATGGGATACCCGGCTTTTGTAACTTGCATGCTTTCACAAGAGAAGTGGGTGAAACCACGTCCCGTATTCAATTTTTCCATGATGGGCGCGGTTGTCTGTATAACCGGCTACCGTGACAGAGAAACTGTGGTATGTGACACTAGACTCGAACTACACTGCTCGTTAATTTTTGCAATCGGTGGTAGAATGATGAAAAAACGCAAGTGCACATCCAGTTGTGAGTCTTAGAAAACTGCACCAAGGCAAGTTCCGCTAACGACTCCCTCACAACTTGCGACAATCAAAAAATGTCAAGATGCGTCTCTATTCTCCTCTCACATGTGCGTGAAGGATCATAAACAGTTATGCTGAATCACCCTTTGGACTAATTCCGTCTGAACGACTTTGACTGACATCTGTTATATTAATTTGGGACTGCTCTGCTTAACTTGTCGAAATCCATCAGTATTTAGTAGACTGGGTTATTTTGACCTTGGCCTGGTAGTCGCAATATCCAGACTGCCATCTGGCGGTGTTCCGCATTCCGCACAGATCGGTCATTTATGCAACTCAGACCAGTTGACGAGAAAGCACTGACTAAACCTTCAATTTGGGACGAGTAATTGTCACTGTTTTTGACTACCAACATCGTCTTTCCGCTGGAAGCAGTTTTTGAACCTGCCAGTCGCTAGGAACCGTGCGAAATTTTGTCCACTGAAAGTGTTCTAAGTCAGTGTCTGTGCCAGCTCACGAAGGCGCTCACACATTTACCGAAAACTCAGCCTAATATACCCAATCAAGTTGTTGCTTATCCACCAAACCGCAAGTTTGCCAGACGTGAAAGACAGACCTATAATGCTAGGCCGCTTATCCTATAAATTTACTGCCGGAGCAGTTGGCAAGTAATTGTCACTGTTTTTGATTACCAACATCGTCTTTCCGCTGGAAGCAGTTTTTGAATCTGCCAGTCGCTAGAAACCAGTCGTTTGGTTGGTGTGGGGGCTGTCCCATGCGTCTTTCTATGCACATCAGTTGTTTACTATTGGAATGACATCCAGCAACCGCCCCCCCACTAGGTATGTCTTTATGTTCGCCTTCTAATGTCAGAAATTACCAGCATATGCTTCCCAATGGTCATTCATTCCATGGATGCACTGTGTTCAGAACGGTTAACAAAACTACCAAATTTCCTTCTTCGTCGCGTTTCGAGGTGATGAACAGTGTCTGAGTTAGTCAGCAGGATTTCTCTGATCTGTTGTATGCCTGAGTATGGTAGCACCGGTTTCACCGTTTTCGGCTCAATTGGTCACGGTAATCTAAGGTCTAACTGGTACTCCATTAAGCCCTTGAGAAAATTAGTTTGGTCTCAACTCAGCATTCACTATGGATAAACTGAACTTTGGTACGCTTCATACCGGCCGGCGTAAGTATCATCAGTGACCGATATTACAGCCGGTTAAATAAACCTTAATTCTCCTGCGCAACTCTGCCTTATACTATTTAAAGACTTCGTTGTTTTGCCACAGAATCGTCTTGCCACCATGGTCAACTGGATGGGTGGAAGCGTACAACGCTCACTGAATGTGAGTACAACCACGCATCTAGTGGCCTATCGCTGTGCAGGAGAGAAAGTCCGCGCTGCTGCACTTGCTCCACGACGAATTACTACTGTCAAGGCCTCTTGGATCGATAATGCATGGGCTAGGCGGATTGAACAGCCGACTTTGAACGCCACAGATCCAGAGTTCGTGGTAAGTTAAGTCGCGGCTCTCCTTGTCGCCGAAGGATCACATTCTTCAGTTTTTCGCTTGGTCATTGTTATTGACTCGAACAATCAAACATTCTGTCCGAAGCGTTTATAAAGTTGTCCAAGTCTGGGTCACCCGGGTATTCTATAGACTTTCCAGAAACCATTCCTCGGTTCAGACAACAAATCAGTTTAGAAGCCATTTTAGTGAATCCCTCAAGAGATCCAGAAATTCACCAAATCCACCTGTTTATTATAAGGCAGCTGTGCCCTCCTGTGGGTTGCTTGTTCATCTCGGTGTGAAAGCCGCTAATTCTGTGCTGATCCAAGGGGCGAGACGGCTCAGTGGTTAGAGCGCGAAGCTGATGACTGGAAGGCCCGTGGTTCGAACCCGACCTGTGTCTCTCGACTTCTCTTGTCTAGGCTTGGGCAACCTGGCAGTATCCCAGCCCTCATGCTTCCTTCGGGTTGCATGGCCGTTAGGCACCGGAAGGGTGCTACAGCTGAACGATTTAAATAGCAGGTCCTACGAAGACCAACTAACACATCCCAGACACTAGCAAAGCATTACGGCAGTAAGCATCGGGTGTTGAACACTGATGTCATGCTGTCGATGATGATGATGATGATGATGATGAGCAAGGCACTTTCTCCCTTTGATTTGCCTCCTCTTAGGAAAAGACCAACTTTGATAGGTCGCTCGGAGGAGGGTAACTATGTTTAAATATTTTTGTCTAGCACATTCTTCAGTTTTTCGCTTGGTCATTGTTATTGACTCGAACAATCAAACATTCTGTTCGAAGCGTTTATAAAGTTGTCCAAGTCTGGGTCACCCGGGTATTCTATAGACTTTCCAGAAACCATTCCTCGGTTCAGACAACAAATCAGTTTAGAAGCCATTTTAGTGAATCCCTCAAGAGATCCAGAAATTCACCAAATCCACCTGTTTATTATAAGGCAGCTGTGCCCTCCTGTGGGTTGCTTGTTCATCTCGGTGTGAAAGCCGCTAATTCTGTGCTGATCCAAGGGGCGAGACGGCTCAGTGGTTAGAGCGCGAAGCTGATGACTGGAAGGCCCGTGGTTCGAACCCGACCTGTGCCTCTCGATTTCCCTTGTCTAGGCTTGGGCAACCTGGCAGTATCCCAGCCCTCATGCTTCCTTCGGGTTGCATGACCGTTAGGCACCGGAAGGGTGCTACAGCTGAACGATTTAAATAGCAGGTCCTACGAAGACCAACTAACACATCCCAGACACTAGCAAAGCATTACGGCAGTGAAGCATCGGTGTTGAACACTGATGTCATGCTGTCGATGATGATGATCGTGATGAGCAAAGCACTTTCTCCCTTTGATTTGCCTCCTCTTAGGAAAAGACCAACTTTGATAGGTCGCTCGGAGGAGGGTAACTATGTTTAAATATTTTTGTCTAGTATACGAAAGTACCATGCGCGAGAAGTCAAGTCTTCTTTTAATCATGAAGGTTTTACACTTGGTGTTCTCGTCTTGTTTCAAATAAGCTGGAGTGATTGCATCCACTATTTTCACCCATTTCCATTCTAAGGAAGCGCACCGAGCGAAGGTATTCTCCGAGACATGTTTGGCATTCGTCGGTTTCGTTCCCGGCAGTGAGGAGTTGTTGGAGCTGTGTAGGCTGGTGGTTGAACATGATGGGCTGGTTACGGAGGATCTCAATGACCAGCGTCTAACGCATGTTGTTGTCACGGACAATTGGCCTGGGTATGGAAACATTTTAGAGGTGAGTGGTTCTTTGAAGAAGTATGGCTTGTGTTTTTGCCCGTAACATACGTTTTGAAATGTTGCACTTTGAGTTTATGTCACTCGACATTGTATTCTTCTCCTCATCCGCTGGTTTGTTTTGGTCGTTTTTACCCTCAGCGGTTGAATGATTTGATTGTTTCTGCTGGGCCAACGAAATCCCCAGTGTCAGCATCCCGCCAACATTCATCGGCCATTCAATTTGCTGGGTCTCCATCACTGACTGAGGAGGATCAATACCGCATCTCCCTGTTGGCATCCGCCTATCGGGTTCCCGTAGTTCGCTTGAAATGGTTCTGGCTTTCTCTTCAGCTCACTTGTTTGTGTCATTTGGAAAACTTTTTATATGTCGCTGGTCCACCCAGACCGAGTTCTGTGTACAGACCCCAACTTCCACCTTTAGCAAGACCGGGAAGCATTACGCCAGAAGCGGGTAGCCTGAGTCCTCCGGAGTCGCGCAGTAGTCCTCTCAGTTCACCAGTACCAATGCTTACACCCCTACCGGATATTGAGGAGCGCATGGAAGAAGGGGAGGAGACAAGTTTTTCCGGACCAACTGGCTCCCGATCGTTGTCCGAGTCTGATACTCGGGCACATGATGAGAAAGAAAATGCACTTCCTAGTGAATTCCACTCATTGGACTCACCACATACAGTCCTTGGGAGCTCACCACTGGCTCGAAGGGTTCTTTCGAAGGAGTTATTCAGAAGTTCGCCCAATAGAAGTCCCTTATCCCATCATATTGCAGACAAAAGTAAGTATTTTTGTACCGTTTATTTATCCCATCGCGCTTGCTGCCCCCCCCCCTCCCACAGGCGTACCAATATCTGCTCTGGTTTTATTTTAGTCTCCTTCATCACTTCTCCGCGTAATCGCAACAGCCCTCGCGGCTTCACCAGCCCATCGGCTGACGCAAGCCAACACAGTAGCGGTCGGCGTAGTTCTCATCCGCGACGAAGTAAAGCATCTTTGGGCGCCATCAGTGGCTCGTCCAGTCATGACGATCTACTGACCCAGTTGGCTGATCCTATGACCTTTCCAAGCAACCGGGAACGTCGGCTTTGCCAGCTGGTTGTCGTTGGCCATGGCAACGACACTAAACCTGTGTCTTCTAATGGAGACGCACGACTCCCCATGTCCGAACCGGGCTTGTTTTATTCCCCAGCTAGCTTCAACTCCGGCCTCCTACTGAATGCGACCAACGCGAGCGAATGCAACGCCAACGGAAGCGTGTTGGTTCCCGAGCCACAAAGTCACGACTTCATTTCGTCTGTCGGCTCATTACGGAACATGCTGAATACTGAGGATATGGTAGCGGCAGAACCTAATTGTGAGATGACGATGCCTACACAACTGAAGTCCCCATTAGCTCAGCCTACTGGTAAGTCTAAACGATTTTCTGGGTCCCGTTGAGCATGGCGGCGTTTTTATGTTTGTCTCCGAATCCAAATAGAGCGAACGGCTGGTTTTTCTTATCACCATTTTGGTAACAACATGATTAACTAAACGAATGGTATTCAAATCGGCTCTGCTTGTCAACACTGGTTGGACTGGGAACCCAATCATAGGTGGTAAACTACGGGTGATTGGATCAGAATCGAATGTGTTGCTGCGTGTAGATTGTCAACTTCGTATATACCGAAGGAATAGGGTCGGTGGGCGAACATGCAGAGCCTTGTTGCAAATCGTTACTTGGCCTTATCACGATGAGTTAACGGTTAACGCTCGAGACACCGACTTCATCCACCATTATTGCGTTCCAGGATTCTAGGGAGACACCCTTGAGCGGACCCGGGGAGCGAGATGTGCAAATCGTTACTTGGCCTTATCACGATGAGTTAACGGTTAACGCTCGAGACACCGACTTCATCCGTCAATTCATTTGCTTTCCGCCATTATTGCGTGCCAGGATTCTAGGGAGACACCCTTGAGCGGACCCGGGGAGCGAGATGGCTCAGTGGTTAGAGCCCGAATTTACTGACCGGAAGGTTTGTGGTTCGAACCCGACTTCTGCATCTCGACTTCTGTTTAGGCTGGGGCATCCTGACAGTATCGCGGCCATCGCGCTTACCTCGGGTGGAATGGAAGCTAGACACCGAAAGGATCTTACAACTCAACGATATTTCCGCTTTGAGTTAACCATACAGCTGTGCCATTGGTGTCATATTGTCGTCTGCAGGACGATAACAACACACGAATGTTTGAACTTAGTTAGGTTCGCCAAATCAGGCTGTCACTTTGAAACACCACCGAAGGATGCAAAAGAGGTAGAACGGATTTGGTCTGTCCTATGATGGGATCCTTGTACGCTTGCTACTTGCCTGTCATCAAGACTGGTCTGTTGATGTTAGAGTGACTCGTATGGTGTATGGTGGATACTGATTATATTGGAACGCTGGATTAATTATACCTGAAATGATAAACTAGTGGGTCACCCTGGAGAGTTGATATTCCGGTTGTTGGGAATGCGATAACGGTAGTGTCATGGTCAAACAAACTGAGTAGTCTGCCGTTAGGTTATCAAAGGGTAGTGTGACAAGTTCGGATTTCTCCTTTGCCTCACCTACGCATCTTCTTTCCCATCTAGGTGAGTCTGCACAGACTTCAACTCCTGCCAGCGGAAAGCGTAAATCCTCAACGAGACTGAGCCTTCTGCATTCTACCGCTCGCAAGTCACGTACTCCGGCCCCGGAAATGTCAGCCACTTCCTCCAGCAACTCCAGTACTCCAGCAGGAGATTCATCTACAGGTAAGTTCACCAGGAATTTCGTGATATCTCCACTCACCTTCCTCCCTTAACTTAGTCCCAAATTCCGGAACCATGCCGTCCGAGCCTAGACTTGTTCGCCTGAAAAACTTCTATTCTTTGTAATTTTTCCTTAGATTTTTGCAGTATTATTTTGGTCCTTGCCAACTTAAAGATGCAGCAAAACGCTGTGGTCTCTTTCTTTCAGGCCAATCGGGAACTCCACTACGCGTACGGTTGGAGAAACGACAACATCGTGTGTTTGAGTTTTTCGTGACCGAGCGCAACTACGTAGAGGTTTTGCGCTATCTATATCGTGTTGCCTACTCGGTGAGTACACTCCTATTTTGCCTCACTCTTTCTCTATCATCGGTTTAGTTTTCTGCACAAGTCCTGCAGTGTCCGCATGCTAAAAACATTTGAAGATGTTAGGATTGCATTCAGTGCTACTGGGGCCATAACCCTCGGTTTCCCTTCCCCAACTTCGATTTCCCGGACACTCACATTCACACTCACATTACATTCGGTTACCTGGTGGCGCGGCTCATTGCTATCCTTTGTACGGCTCGGGGTTTTGATCGTTGACAAAGCCAAATCGATTATATACGGAGCCCTCCTAAAATCACCCTAGATGTCTCGGTGGTTAGAGCGCAAATTTACTTAACCGAGAGGTCCATGGTTCAAACCCGACCTCTGCCTCTTGACTTCCACTGTATAGGCTTGGACAATCTGGCAGTATCCAGGCCCTCGTGCTTCCTTTGGATCGCATGGTAGCTAGGCACCGAAAGGGTGTTATCATCCTAGACACAGACTAAGACAATTATATGGTTTACTAATACGACCGCAGTTATTATTTGCACCTGTGATGCATATCTTGGGTATGCGGTTCATGTGTTGGGTGATCATCAACAGTTTCAACAACAAACCTTGTTTGGTCCGCAATGAGGTTGTCGACCTCCTCTTCGACATACTTCGAGGAAACGGTTTTTTGGACACTTTTTCCCACTGTGTTTCTACATCGGGCAAACAACCCCGGAATGTACACAGTGACTTCCTGGTTACCGAACTCTTAGAATCGTTGTATCCTCCAGAGTCAACGAGATGGCTCAGTGGTTAGAGCGCGAATTTACTGAATGTAAGGTCCGTGGTTCGAACTCGACTTCTCATGTCTAGGCTTGGGCAACCTGGGAGTGCTTCCTTCGGGTGGGCATGGCTGCTGGGCGCCGGAAAGGTGTTACAGCTGAACGATTGTCTTATTTTATCTTTTTCCACCATCAACTTCACGATGATCCAGCTACTTACCACGTTAAATGGTTGACATCACATTTTCAATTGAAAGTTCGTTCTGTGGGTGAAGCCAATTTTTGCTGAAAAAAACTGAGATGCACTGTACACCTATTTCATCTTTATTGAGAATCACCAGCGCGCTCTCACGAAACCCCGAGGAGTTCCGATCTCCCAGTGACACTAGCACTATCTTCTTAGCTTAACACACCTGGTCTTGTCAGTATTTTGACCCGAACACTACATATGGTAGTATTTATGACATGACTTCATCGTCGTCATCAACCGTTTACAAGTTGTGCAGTGGCTCCGATTGACATTCACTCACTTTATACCAAGCGTAGTGACGAAAACGACAGTTGGCCTCCGAGGCTTGTGCATCGGTTAGTGACTGTGTAGCTGCGTTATCAAAGCGTTTTATTGTTGGTGTGATAATCGCGAGTGCCGTCGCTCCGAATACCAGAGATGATAATAACTAATACAAGACCATGTTAGGGATCTCACTGACATGTAGGGGAAATTTCATATTCGTGTCAGAATATTAGAAAACCTAGTACATGGATTTTGCATCGTGTTGTTTGTTGGAAGGTGACGTGGATTCGTGATGGCATTAAGAGTAGTCTTTGTTGTTTGACGCTCGTGGGTGGTCTTCCAAAACGTATCGATTTCAAGTAGAACCTCACGAGATCGGAATGAAGTTGTTTTCTTACGGGATGGCCTCCCTGGGACAGAGGGTTCCTTTCCGAAACCGTTCATCACCGTTATAAAACACACGTCGATTCTGAGAAGCATTCTTCGCCAAAATTCTCTAAACAAGGATGCGCTGTGTCTGATCTGCATGCTTCAAAAGTTGATTTTCATAATTTTATCACTCTGACCCCAACTGTTTACCCTCAAAGCTTTCTAACAATATCTCTCTTTTCACGGTTACATGTACTGTGCTGCACTGTATTCTCCTACCTTTCTTACTTCCCTCCATCCGGTTTCAGCAAGTGGTGAATGAAGACCAGTCTGGTGGGGCTATTCTTCCTCGCCAGGAGGCGGACTACATTTTTGGGAAACTGGGGCCCATATACGAGTTGCACGAACGTTTGCAGCCGAAGTTGAGTCAGCTCGAAACGAACTGGTCCCTGGCGGAGAGTTGTCTTGGTGATGTGTTGCGAATGGAGCTTCTGGACGAAATGGACAAGGTTAGTACGCTGCTGTTCTTGCATTGTTACTTTGGCTCGTCGGCCGATACCCAATTTGCGAATTCTCCGTTTGGGCGTGTTCACCTTAACATACTAGGTTTTTTAACCAAATGGAGGATCATGCCTCTTTCAGTTCCTCATCCATTCACGTCAACTCACTTTATTCGACTACTTTATTTACACTGATGAGCAACATGTATTTGCAAACAAAATCTTTCGCAGTACGCAAAATTCCATGGCTGTGCACCTCAACGGCAGAATCGCAGTTTACCTGGTTTCTGCCCGTGGGAGCAAGAATGGTACGTTCGAATGATGCTGTATAGAGTGAACTGGGGTTTATTGTCAACACGTTTTATTCTAATAAGACGGATTCCGCCTTGAGTTCCATTGAGAAAAACATAACCGACAGATCAAATGACCCCGGTTATCGTAAGGAGACGTACATTCATATGACCCCCTCTAATAGGTCAAGTGAACCATGCTCTAAAATGTTCGCTACACTGACTCGAAGGAGTCAGTTTCAACAAAAAATCATGGTCAGTCCCAACCTGAAAGGGTAAAATCCTTCTGCTAGACTAATCTGTGTGCTCCTTCACCTACTGTTCGGTGGCGTGTTGGTCGGAGAACTAGACGTTTTGCAGAACGTCCTCGACAGCGCTGTCCGGCCTGACTTGAACAGACTGCTTCAAGCTCTGTGTCTCTTTCGTTTGAAACCAAACACCGGGTAGATGTGAAATCCGCTTTCTTAATCCCGTACGAGGTCCCAGAAACTGAAAAGCATTCAAACAGCACGTCTTGCAGACGAATCAGTTGCTACAGACAGTGTCCTCTGAGTTCAAAAAAGGTACGTTCACACCACAGTGCGTAACCCCGACTGGATATTTCAGACGTTAGTGCAGAGCGATAGCCTAACCGTGCCTCGTGAACCATGATGTCGTTATGCTGAAACTGATAGCACATGTTCCATGACTCGATAAGAATTCTTCTTTTGTTTCGAATTACATAAATTCATTACGTCGTTGATCTCTTTACGGATGGTGTTTCTGTTGTAACTGACTGTCCCCGCTCCAGTACCTTAGTGTTGGAATCTGACTCGCCAACAAGGAATACAACAGCTTTATTACGAACAAACGAGTGCAAAAAACAAGAAACATCGCGGTATCGCTGGCCGTTTCCTCTGTGACATGCCTGAACACATCGCCGGCCGTAGATAAATCGATTAACTGTTTGAGCGTCCAATCGGAAGCTTCTTTTCTCGCCCATTTGCTGGACGGCTTTTGGTGGAATTCGAGGGTCTCAGAAAAATTCGGGCATCCTGGGATTATTTTCAAGAATCTGACACTCCTAACAGTTTCTGACATCTTAACGATTCATAGACAGTAGGCTCAGGTCAGTGTGAACTGCTTGTGATTCGACTGTTATTCTTGTCGGAAAGGTGTGTTTTCAGCCGACAGGTGGGTTACTTCCATCTGACAGTGATATCCATCATCTTTAATCATTATACTCAGTGAAATCGAGATGTCTTCGACCTTTGGTTCATAGCCGAGACTGAGCGTAGCCTGAATAGAATCTGTTCCCACTCACACATACATCAGCGCTGTTATCTCCTTTGAGGTGGCACCATTGTCAGAACAATAGCGCCACATGCCTGTTTGGTTAACCAGTCTAGTTTTGTTCCGAACCAGAAAAATTTCCAACCCAATGCTCACTATGCAACAGCATACGGGGCCATTAGGGAGTTAGTGGTAGTTTGTTTGCTGAGCAAACGTTTGTCATCTCGATCTTTCACTAAAGATTGGCAAACTGCAGCGTATCTCAGCTGATCGTGATCCCTTACATTGCCCGTCGTTCAGTTCTCCGTATGTCTGGGGAAGTATCAGCTCGTCGATTCAAGAACATGAAACTGAAGTCCTCTTGCAACTCTACATTTCGAGAGATAGTGAAACCCAAATTTTCTACACAAATCACTGCTCTTTTCCCCACAGGCTTATGGCAACTATATGCAATTCTACAGTCCTCCGCACATTCACCGACTTGGCGAACAGTTCCCCCGATTCCTAGCCTTCCTCCGTCAAGTTGAGCGACGAAAGGAATCTGGGCGACAGAGCTTGACTGCTCTGTTAGTGCGACCGGTCCAACGACTGCCATCGATTGCCTTACTTCTGGATGGTAGGTCACCTCTTTATCTCATCTGGTTTTTCTATAAATTTATGCTACTTATTACATGGTAAGTAGTCAGCGTCGCGAAAAGTGCCACTGCTACAGATACCGAACGCACTTCCGGAAACAGCAATCCAGTAGGCACACTGACCCCGGCGAATGAATCTCAAAGACATTATCTCCTTTGGGGGGAAGTGTTTGGTACAACGGTATGTTAGTCAATCTTCTCGAAACCATTATTGAACCCTCACCGTCCGAAAAGAGATGTGCCGTGCAATTTCGGTACATTTTCGGTGGATGAGAATATTCGACACAGAACTTGGTGTCTGCACCTGTTTCGGAATAGACTTTTTCGAGTAGCCTGGCGTTGCTTTCTTGAAAACCATGCCTTCATGGAGGCATATCCCGCATCCATCTTCTGTACTTCGTTTGGTTGTGGCGTCTTTATATTTCTCACCGTCTCACTCCTCGTTCACTTTATTGACGGTACCCTTAGCCGAAAGATATCATTACTTCAGTTACTTCAGTGACCTCACCAGATTCACTGTATGCCACCAGGTCTGAAGAAGATCATACCAGATACGTTTCAATATCATTCGGAGAAGTCCTGAACTCCTACTACCCAAAGCAATTTTCATTTACACTCCCTTGTCCACCTGATATGTTCTGTTTCTAAACCTGCCAACTTAATCGCAACTTCTAACCGTCCACTTCATCAAAGTGCTACGGAGGGTCTCTTCGACGCAGCGGCATTTGATGTTGGCGCTCTGTATCGACTAAATCACAGGATATCCCATGCTTGCTCTTCTTGCCAGGTGCTTATGTTTCCTCTGTTTGGCAAAGAAAAATATGACTATTCCTTCTGGATTTCATGCCGACTGAACTGACTGTTGCGGCAAGATGGGCCTGCCAAGCGAACAGTATTTCGAATTTCGTACAAATGATATCTCTGGTATAACCGGGACGCAATTTAGAACAAGTGAGCTCGAGATAACCCAGTGGTTATGGTGCGAATTAGCTGACCGGATGGTCCGTATCTCGAACGCGAGCTCTGCATCTCGTCTGCTGCTGTCTAGGCTTGGACAACCTGGCCGTATCTCAGTCCTGTGATTCCTTCGGATTGCATGGCAGCTAGGCACCGGGAAGGTATTATAGCTAGTGTCTTAATTAGGACATGACTCGTCCGATAGAATACCGATATCATATTTTAACTCATCCAACTATTCGGTAAGTATTCTGTACGCTTGGAATGTTTAAAGATAAATTTGTCGTGCCGCAGCACCCTTAATAATATAAGTTATACGTGTCATCCTGCTCTCCATTTTCGACACCAAAATGTCTTCCGGAGTGGCGCTTAAGAGGTCGTTTGTTGCGGTGCCTTTGTGTTTGTAAAACTGACAATCAAATGCAAACCGCACATCGTTTGTGCATATCGCTGAAAATTCCGGAGTGGTCACTCTAAACCAAGTAAAAAGAGGTTGAGCTTCAACGGAAGTCAAATGCTTACTCGTACTGTGTATGTTCTTTTCCTTCTGTACAAAGTAGAAATCTCTCTTCAGTGTGTTTTTGAAATAATTATTTTTGAAGTCATTTTTTAGGTTAATCCCTGCAATGTGGCGCTTGAGGATGAATGAGATCCTTGGTAGCCGTAAATCGGGGCATCCGTAATCAGGGCATCCGCTGAAACGGAATCTAAAAGCGCTTAGTGTACGCTTAGTGTAGTCAGTGGTGCTCTTGCATCAAAGCTATTGCCTTCAAATTGAACACACCTTCGCCTCCGAAGCTTGGTTGTACGTTTTCCGGTGACCAAAACTGTAGCAGCCGGAACCAATGTTCCTATGATATACGGCTTATAGCTGATAAATTGAACTGGTTTAAATTGCGCTTAGTGTGACCTGAAGCGTATTCGTTATGTTTACCTCAATTTTGGCTGGACGATTAATTTTTGAACGCAACAATCAAATCTAGTACGGACCACAGCCCACCCGTTAATAATACTTTCCAAGTTTATCCTTATGGAGACTTGGAAAAACCGAATATCACGGAAGTGGTTGAAGGCGAAATTGCTTAGTCCCGTCGTAAGTCATCTTCATGGTCTGCATACTTATTCGCTTTTCTCGACGATGTCGTTTCAGGCATATCCAAATTCACTCCTGGTTCTCACCCTGACAACGCGGGCGTTACTCAGTTCGCCAAAGGTCTGAATGAATTACTACTGAAAATCAACGAGCGCCTTCGAAAGAACGAGGAACGTCTTTCATTATTATCGCTCTATCATGAAATCAGCGGGGCTCCGGTAGGTTGATGATTCGGCACATTGGTTGAGAACGCATGATGTTCAAGTAAATAGTGAGCAACCATTCTCAAGCCACCCTTCTCTGTTCTCTTCATTGCAGCCTGAAATGTTGTCCTCCTCTCGCAGCCTTATATCCCGTCTGGACGTGTTCGAGTTAGGGACCAGTGCTTCAGGAAACACAACCTGCGAGCCCGTAACCCTTTTCCTTCTTACGGACAGTCTCGAGGTCGCACGACCACGGAAACGCCACACGGGTGAGCCATTGGCTCACGCGATCCGAGCGGCTCTGGCGGTTGTTCATGGTAAGTCAACTTGGATATGAACAGATCCTTTGTGTTCCGTACTCTCTGTTTCACCCCCTGGCGTCCATCCCAATTTGACCAGTTTGTTGGTTTTTTCCGCAGGTTGTCTATTACTCATTAAGTCTCACTATTCACTGTGGCCGTGTTTTGCTTTCAACACAGTAGAAGTTTCATGCGAACCAGGCCTAGGTCATTGACTATCGCCACATTGTAGGTTGTGGTGGTGGCGAAATAACCCTTCACCGATATTCCTCACGTCTTTTTTGCAACTTTTTTTTATCATGTTCCAGATAACTAGCTGGGGTGTTTGGTTATACGTTTCTCTACGGTTACATGTTTCATTACTGCGTATGGTTTCTAGACGAACTCAGTGCTTAAGGCAAGAACCGACGGACCCGCAGGTCTGTGGTTCGAACCCATCCTGGGCATCCCGACTGCTCATGTCTAGGTTTGGACAACCTCAGCCCTCGTGCCTTCTTCTGGTGGTGTGGCAGGTCTTCCATGAAAGGGTGCTTTAGCTGAACGGTAGTTTTTAAACTGTGTACAATATTACCAGTCGGTGGCGTCTGAACGGTAGTTTTTAAACTGTGTACAATGTTGCCAGTCGGTGGCGTAAAATGTGATATGTCCTCTTCGCGATGTCTATGCATGTGGTCACTCAAACTAATCTCTATCCTTCATAAAATCTACATTTACGTGGACTTTATTACAGGGTTTTGCCATCCAACCTCATCTGTTATGCAGCCAAAGGCAGTTTTAGTAGGACAACAGAGAAGTGGTTGAGAGGGAGGGACTGAAACGTACGAGTCCAAGTGAACACTCGCTGGCTTGCGAATCCACGAGATTGTTTGATATTTGTCCAAAACCTTTGACGTTCAATGTGGAATTTGCAAAAAAGGGAGCTTAAATTGCGATTAGTAACGGACCATTTTTTCTCGAACTTTTTGGATACGCATCCTTGGAGCATTGTTGCGTGAATCCACTACACTTTCAGCTCGAGCTGGATTTATTTGGACTAGTATATCATGGGTACTGTGCCCAAGCGATGTGAAATGCTGTGAGAAATATCCTGGCGATTCAAACAACGCATGGTAAAAATCATTCAGTGATCTTGGTCGATTATTTTTAGTTTCACATTTTGGGGCATGGTTCTGATCGATTTTGACACATTCGTAAAAGATAATGAATACTGATTGATGCGGTACATGAAAGGCACGATAATATGTTCGAACCTCTCTCATTGGTTGACATCGAAACTGCGAGCGGGCCATTCCACGGTATGTTGGTGTTACAAAGCAATGATTACAGTTTGGTAGAGTCCGAAAGTTCATGGAAGATCATGACCAGTTTTCCAGAATTGAAGTTGATCAGTGTCCTGATGTATGAATCAGTCGCCTGCTTTTTTCCTCAGAATCGCCCTTGTAAGTTTCCTTGCATGTGAAAATCATAAATCAATCCATCACAGAGCCATTACTCCGAACTCGGATGCCGAAGTTCAGGTTTTTCTTTTTCACATTAACCATAGCCATCCAAATCAAGCTTTTCCATATCAAACTACTGTGTTCATAATTTGGGATGATGTGATTCGTGATCCGGTTAATTTCCGCTGAAACATAGTCACAATTTATCTGGGGACCTTTTCGCTTTTTGTATATTTTCACACTGTGTCGCGCGTTAACATCCATTTCGAGCCATGGCTTTGAGGCCATTGTCAATTACTATAAGGCAGCGCATAGAAATGTTCTTTTCTTTTTGTCGGTGTCAATTACTATAAGGCAGCGCATAGAAATGTTCTTTTCTTTTTTGTCGGAAATCTTTCGTTTACTTGCACCTCTACCGGATCAGTGAAAAATAAATAGATAACCTTCTCCAATCGTCTCATTTTCCCGTAAATCTTGTGGTTTGTCAGGCCTGTATGTCAGCATTTGATCTTGTCCGAATTCAGGTGGGCTGATCCAGATGGTATACCGCTGTTTAGTCCAACTGGTGGTCGATAATCATGCCTTCAATTAGAACGTCGGGTGATCCTCCCTGGCAGGCCGCAGTTAACCTTGATGCCAATCGATAGTACGCAACGCAAGGATCTTTTGCTCGAGGAAGGTTCTCAAGTTGCTATGCGTGTCGACCATACGGCAGCCAATCGTATCTGGAAAATCCAGAATGTTTTCATTAGCATTTTATGTCATCGCCCCCTGGAAAGCAGGCCTATTGCGCACTGAAACAGTGATTCAGTGATGAAGTTTACTGGTACAACAGAATTGGAACCAGCCGGTTCGGCTGTGTTGTCACTGTTACAGAGCTAAACCAAACACGTCCGCTGGCGGAGCAGCCGGAAACACACTTTAATAGGCCAGTTCAGATTCGAGGGTAATCGTGTAAACTGACTCCACACGAACTCTAAAAGCGTGAGAATAGTTCACTACTTTGCTAGGATCGAGCAGGAAGGAGATGATGTGGATTTAGTTATAGAACAACTTCATTATATACTAGGTATTATCATGTGCCTTGACAACTGTAGTAACGGTATTTTCCTCACCTTAGTTCTCGGTCTGAGCCTCCCAAGCTAGCGTTCACGTCAAAACAACCACCAAAGGTGCACAAGGTCTATTAATGCCCAAAACGAAGTCAGCGTAAGCGGTTATAACCTTCTGGAAGTTCTGACGCGTTCTGTATGCGCCATTGGCAACCGGCATTTGGCCAATACTGGGTCATGATTGGCTGTTGGGTCCAGATTGTTGACCAATCATATCTCGTCTTGATGCCGGACCGGCAAGCGTCCCGAATTCTTGGCCAATCTCGTGCGGGCCAGGCTTATCGGCCGTAGCAGTGCCTAAAGACGTGTGGTATAGCGGGATCCGTGTGAAATTCCGCCTGGCAACAACCAATATAATAATAGTGAATTATTATGATTGGTTGGTTGGAATGAGGTGGCTCAGTGGTTAGGGCGCGAATCCACTGACCGGAAGATCCGTGGTTCGAACCCATGCCTCTCAACTTCTATCTATGCTTGGGCACCCGGGCGTTATCCCAGCCCTCCTCTTCCTTCAGATGGCAGCTAGGCACCGAAAGGGTATTACAGCTGTGTGTTCATTCTTCTTATTATTATATTGTTAATAAAAGCGAAAGTTGTATGGTTTGCCAGACATCAATGAGAAACGTTTGGGCGCGACACAAAAACGCTGTTATTGTTAATATGAACGTAGTCTGCGGTTACCACGCTATCGTAACTTCACGACTATGATTGTACGGGAAATCGATGTTCTGTGCTAATTGGGTATGTTCATTTGGTTTTGGACTGGAATTACGTAGGGCACAACGCACCTTAAATTCACCTTCATTTGCGCCTCTCATCGGTGTGTCGAAACGTTATCACAGATGCTCACGGACACTATAAGCATGTCAAGACGGGAAAATAGAGACCAAATGTGAAAGCTATCCACAAGGGTCGAAATTGGAGCGCAGGGCATTTCATTGTTAACTGATGAGTTTATTGATGTAGGCACTTCCATGCATCTGAAGGTATGTCCGACCACCTCAAACTGTTTTTCACTCGCCCTCTTCGTGTTGCCTGTACTCTTTCAATGTTTCCATCAATTTTCCGTTCACTGTTTTGTCAGGTGAGGGTGGTGAGGTGTGTACCGATTCAACTAACCGAAACCTCAATGTGACCCCTGGTGTCTGCCCATCCACAAACGCCAGTCTGCAGTCAGAAAGCAATGCCGCTGGAGTGACTGCTAGCGCGGGATCCGATCACACGGTGACTGTCACAAGAACTGGCTCGGGTGCTTCCGGTGCGAGTATAGTGAACTTCGGGATGGTGGAAGGCAAACAACGGTGTCATTATAAGCACCTACAGCTTTTGAAATTGCAAGAAATCAAACGTGTAAGTCTTTTGTCTCTACTTCAGTCCAATCTAACTTTATTTTCCAACTTTCTAGGTTGTCAGTTTTGATACGGCCTCTCCAGATCGCGCGGCTTTTGGCTTAGTTGTTCGTTCCAGCTCCGAAATGGACGATCGAGTCTATGCCTATTGCCTCGCCGCCAGTTTCGCCGCAACTACTGCTGTGGCCACTGGTCGATGCCCAGAACCAGTGGAGTCCGCGGTCGCCGCTGCTGCCTCCGCGTCCTTAACAGGAACTCTGGTGCGAACAGAAAGCTTGGGATGCACAACGCCTGCCTCGAGCAGCTCTCACGTCGCCACCTTGCAAGCCTGTGTCAGTGAAGCGAAGCGCAAGTTTCTCAACCAGCTGTGCCATCACATCATCCAGGTGTCCTGTTTGGCCAACAGTCCTGAGGAATTGCTAGTGGATGTACAGCCGGAGGAGTTGCTAGGTTTCGATCTAGAACAGGTATTCAACGCCACGGCAGCAGCAATGAAGTCAAAAAAGTTAGTCTCCTGTTTCTTTTTAGCCAAACGGTTGTTCACCTTGTTACCGACTTCGGCCGACTGATATCTTGTCTGTACAGTGAGGTTTCGTGGCGGGACAGAGTGGATTGCCGCGCAAGGTTAATGTAATCTGTGGTGTGTACCGATACTAAGCGCTATCCTGATTTTTTGTCGTCATTCAGCCGTAGCACCCTTTTGGTGCCTAACTGCCAAAAACTCGGAGAACACTTTACCGTTACTGCTGCATCCTTACTGGGATAATCGCGCAATATATACGTCAGTAAAATCAAGAAAGTCGAGCCAGAACCTTCGGCTATGGTTGGTCGATCAGTAGAGCAGTGTACTTGCATGTGGACTGAATATAGCGCCAAGAAACCACTTAAATTACAGATGAGATAATAAAAATAATGAGCGTTCAGCTATAGCATCCTTTCGGTCCTGAAGGAAGCAAGAAGGATGTGCTACTGCCAGGTTGCCCAAGCCTAGAAGGGGAAGTTTAAATTACAGATGAGATAATAAAAATAATGAGCGTTCAGCTATAGCATCCTTTCGGTCCTGAAGGAAGCAAGAAGGATGTGCTACTGCCAGGTTGCCCAAGCCTAGACAGGGGAAGTTGAGTTACAGAGTCCGGGTTCGAACCACGCGCTCTGTCAGTCTCCATTCTAATTGTGTGAACGAGTTTCTGAAGGTGTTGACACGTTTAGGTGCTTGTGGTGAACTAGCACCACCTCTCTTCCATCTCCCTTTTATTCACAACAGTGTTGCTTGTCGACAGAGAGGTACTGTGATGGTCTCTACCAGAGTTTTACTGCACCGATTTTCCAAATCTGAGATGAAAGCTAGTTGAACAGTATAGGCGCAACACGCTGGGTCTCCAGTGAAACCCAAGTCGGCATGCAAATGAGTGTGTTCGACTAGTTGATCAGTGTTTCTAAGCTCGTCTAACTTCCCATATTAGCTCAAGCTCTTTACACGTGCGGGATACACTGTATGAAATACAACTCAATAGTGTGGGTCTTAAAACGTGCTGTCAGTCTGTGGACGCAACTGGATGCTCTTCTTCTGGTCAACCAAGAGCATTGTTGTCCTGGAACGGTGCCGACATCGACACGATTATCCGCTTAAACGAATTGGCAAGTTGCCATCATAGCTAATCCGAAACAATATCACAGACTCATTGGTTTTACAACCAAGGTGGAAGGGGACTGGTGAATCGGTAAATTCTCCGGTAACACTCAACTGGTCTAGTACGAAGCAAAAGGACCGAGGCCAGGTTAGTTTTGTTCACACATCTGGTACATATTTAGTTATTGAGTTCTCACATCGTCTGATGGATAGCTAAGTGATTGATCCTCTCACTGAATGACACGTACTTTACCGATCGTGTTTAATGTATGCTGTTCCAAATGTTCTTCCATAGGTTCGGTCGCCAGCTAACGCGGAACATATCGATTAAGACGCCCCGACGACCGCTTGCTCCCGGTAAGCAGCAACGACCCACCGGCGGTAGTGTATTGCATACGCCCGGCAGTGTGCCACAGCAGAACCACAACACAGATGATGCAACGAGCCTGCAACATTATCCAATATCAAGTCCCCGGCGATCCGTTCTCGGTAGTCTTCTTGGGGTGAGTTGCTTCTGCCGTTTGCCGCATCTCGTCTCTCATATTCCTAGGTTATTTGAACCTGCATCACTATCGTTTGAGCAGTTCTCACCTTGTGCATTGCCCCTCGTGAACAGCGATGACTCAGAAGACTCAAACCGTGTAACCCATGTTTGCACCGTGCAAGTCCTGTCCTGTCAGGAATTCTTAATCAGGTAGCAACACAAAAGCTTTAGTCCCGGCGGACAATTTGCTGAATTCTGTTCCTCGTCGATTTGTTGAACCGACAAAATGAATATATACACACTGGTAGTGTCCCCACAACAAAAACCTTCAGTAATGCGTAGTTCAGACGGTTATTAAAAAGAGGTGATCGCTTTAATAGTCCTGAGTACTGTTCACAGACAATGAGATAAATCATAGATAAACGTTCAGCTGTAACACCCTTTCGGTACCTAGCTGCTGTGCTACCCGAAGGAAGCCCGAGAACTGGGATACTGCTAAGTTGTCCAAGCCCAGACAAGAGAGGTCGGGTTCGAACCACCATGGACCTTCCGGTCAGTAAATTCGCGCTCTAACCACTTGGGCCATCTCATCCTTGTCCGTTCACAGACAAGAAGGCAGATGGATGCGGAAGACTTCAGTTGTTCGCTTTCGTGGGCTAACTAATTCGAAGTCACAAAACTAACCAATGCAACAGTTTTGACATCCACACGCCAAATAAAAGAGTGAAATGGAAGCCGGCGTCGTGAGTCTCGTGCGTGGCTCCAAGTTACTCTCAAGCAAGCGTCTTTACATCATTGTTAACAGGGTGGTGAACATGATGTACAGGTGTGCATTCAACTGATGTTCAGTTACAACTTCTTGCGTGGTCCCTCAGGGTCTGTCTTCTAGCTCATATTATTTTGTAAGTTTTGACTCTCCAAATCTGTCCCCAACCATGAGATGTTCTGATTATAGCTGCGGTCGTTCGAGGCTCGCTGAAACCAATCGTCGCATGTGCAACAGCCTAACCAGCGCTGTCTTACGCGAACATAACTTCGCTTTTATCGGACGGATCCACAGCACAAGGAGGTTCAACATCTGTATTCATGAGTTCTGTCATTAAATCGCTCATGTTTAAGGTTACTTCTCAGTTTCGTCACCTGTCCGTCCAATTCGTCATGCTAACCTCTAGCGTTGTTCCCAGTTCCGATGTGTTTTCTCTTCATGGTGCTTTGCAAGTCCGCCACCCGTCTCCTTACCTGATCGAGTAGCACTTTCGACTCGCTTATAGGAGTAAACCTTTAGTTTGTGAACTATTTGCCCATATTTTCACTGTATCCGATTTTTTCACAGCTGACTACTGGGCTGTTTATTTGACTGACCTGCGTTTGACTATTGATAAACCACCCTTGGAGTTACGTTGTCGGTTCATCGCTCTTATACCAGACAAATTTAGCATATACACATTGTTTTGAAGTCTCAAAGGAATTTCAATGTGTTGAATATATTGGCAGCTATTCGTATTTTTGTAGTATGCAGTGACGGGCGAGATGGCTGGGTGGTTAGAGTGCGAATTTACTGGCCGGAAGGTCCATAGTTCGAATCTGGCCTCTGAATCTAGAGTTTCCTTGTCTAGGCTTGAGCATCCTGACAGTGTTCCAGCCATCCTGCTTCCTTCCTTCATTATTAGTATGCAGTGACAGATATTCATCTTGTCGGGACAGTCAAATGTGCTATCTCTAGGAGGCGTTGTATACTTCAGTGCATCGCTCCAGCATGATTAAGCGTTCTTCTGGACCGAGATGAGGGGCCATGAACCTGGTCGACTCATACTCACTTTGTTGACTGTTCTGTTTTGATATGGTCGAGTTACGGATATTCTTGCTCCCAGTATTTTCTTATACTGGACTGTAATATTAGTTTTGATGACATTTAGAGGTGAACAATAGCTTTAAGCATGCTCGAAAACCTTTTTATGTTTAGGTGATTGGGTACGAGCCCGTGTTTTACTCAGTCGTTTATTTGGTGTAGATATCTTGCTACATTTATGGGCTACTCTCACTTTGGTCAGATTGGCGAGAAAGAGACACTTCTGATTCCAATGGTCCTAGTATCAATACCACATTACTTAGTTGCTTTGTTAAGTTCCCGATAAAATAATCCACTCTTGTAATTCTCACGAGGTGGAATTCAATTGTGAACCTAGGACAGTGAATGATCTTGTTTTTAGTTGTAAGTGGTTTGGAGGTTTGTAGAATTCGCGTTCACATCGCCCGTTTGAACAGTCCTGTCCTGGAGTAGTTATTCCGATGAGTTTACACGAAATATGGGAAGCACTGTACTCGAGTTTCATTCTTATCGAAGCTCGTCAACAGTGTATCTTCTTTGCCATCCTGAGGTGAGCGTACTGCCATTACGCCACCACTGCCCCGTTACGCGTTTCCAATGTTTTCGTTCTGAATCGAGTCCGCTCATGATCCATCGGTGCACATGATTTGCTGGTTCGTGAAAGTTTAAATCGCCGGATGAATTTCGGAAAAAGTGAATGTTTGTATTCTAAAAAACTGTTGTTCTTCTCTCAAGGAGCTACTATCAGAGACGCTTCTATTCCAAAATGCGCACTTCCTAATTTTTACCAGATCTGGGAATATCGTCACAGACAGACGTGTGTTTAAAACGTCATTGCCTTCGTTATTTTGTCAGAAGAGACTCCAGTACAGAGGACCGTTTAATTTGGTTTCAGACTTCCCACAGGGAACCTAAGTACACCAAGAATAGAAATCTCAAAAATAAATGCACGAAGTCTTAGTGTGAATATGGGCGTACATTTGTGCAGGAGTTCGATCGTTCTGATTGTTGGTGTGCGTACTGGGGCGTGGCAATGTGGCCTTCGTCAGACTTAGTATAGGAAAATCAATGATATATAAACCGTCCCTGATGAGTTAGAACTCAATGAACTTGACCACAGACTGGTTAAGGGAATGAGAGGAATTATTAGGCAGATGGAACACGGTCACTCATTTACAAGGACCCTCATCGAGTGAAGGTCTATTGATAGACTCTTCAGCTGGAATTGTATCGTGCAAGTTAGCTTCTTTGAACTTTTGCACATTGTCCTTATCAGCATATCCTAACCCGTTCGGAGTTTCCAGTGGTCCCATTCATTGTTTTTCCCACCTGCATTCCCCTTATCACCTTGCATTCATATTTAAATATTCTTTTTTGCCTCTAAACAGCAACGGGGAGCCACTTTTACGGGAGAACATGCCTCCTTGGTCACGGGTTCTTCACATTTCGTGGAGGCCAGTACTCCGCTGCGAGACAAGCGTCAGTGCAGTACACTTCGACCTCCTTCGACACCGACCGCCGAGCAGGTCACTATGACCATGCTGAACATGATGCGGATCGCTCGTAGTACGGTCCAACACTCTCGCAAGGAATTGACTCATACAGGAAGCATATCATTGTTTGATGATGATGATGACGACGAGGAATGCACAGGCGATTATCCTGATGACGACTGCGCCTCTGTCGCTTCCGGTAACCTAGGGGGTACCTTTTGGCCCATTTATACCAAACATACTGGCGGTGCGACTCGGGCAGAAGCTGCACTCTCATCAACTTCCTCACTTCGGTCACACACAATTGATCTAAGCTCAGTTGCGAGCGCAATGGATAGCGTGAGCTCCCTCAGAACAGTGTGCACCACTTCTCAGCCACAATCGCATCGAAATTCTCTCTCTCGCAGAGGCCCACTCGGTCGACCTTCTGTCCTCCTCTCCGACTATGATTTTCGCGGTCAACGGAAAAGTGTATGTCAAACTGTTCTGGCAGGATTAAAGAACTTCCGACGTTCCATCGCAGGGGCTGGTAGTGCTCTGCTTCACGGAAATAGTACTAGCTCTTTTACCTCCTCTCTCGCCAGGCACGGACACCGTGGTCCCAATCGGGCTGGAGCCTCATCACTCGCCTCACCAGGTATACTCAACCGCAGTGCCAGTGTTGACGCTAGTATTTGCAACACAGTGCTTGCCTCTCCTTCGACACTGGCGTCCACTGGTGACCTTTGCATGTCTGGTCTAAGTTTGAACCGACCAGCACCTCTGGCGGAAACGGAGCTAGAACGCGAAATTGAGCCCTCGACAACGACAGCCTCACCGTTTCCACCTGCTCGCGGTCTGCTGACCTCATCTGCAGCTGCAACTGCGAACCAGTATCAGTCGCCTCGTCTCGAAGAACCCCGTCTGTTTGTGCGCAGTGCCACTTCGACTGCAGTCAATTCTCATGGACAGCTCATGATGGTGAGTTATGTATGGTATCGTCCTTTCAGTGCTTTCGGCGGCAGTATGTTGTATCGTATTGTTGTTTCTATCCTATTTGTTGCCGTTATCCGTATAACCATTACTCTTCAAGTCTGGTGTTAATTCGGCATTATGACGGCGTTTTGCGTGGGATTGTAGAAATTATTAAATTTTTAAATTAAATTAAATTAAATTATGAGTGACCGTAGAAAATTTGGAATGATTGCCCCTCACATTCATAACTCAAAGGCGAAAAATACTCGTTTGAAACGCAGAGGTATTTTGTGACATTCTGAATAAGTTATCACTTGTGTACCGAGATGAATTTGTCCGTACATAGATGCGGTAACATGGTAAATTCGGATCCACCCCCTGCCGAGACGACCGGTGTCTTCCCGTGCCAACATGTAGACAGGATTTGATGTAGCCGAAGGGAATCAAGGAGGCCACGAAAGGTTTGGGTGCTGTTGCTGCGGTTCGCCTCCCCGCACATGGTCCACTTAACTGTCCCTGTACTTGGTTGGAAACACTGAACGATCAATATGGTGGATAACCGATATCAATGGCGTTCATATCATTTTTTATCCAGTTTTTCAGATTAAGTGATGGAGATGTAGGCACCTTGAATGGCTAACCCTCAGGTCTTTCTCTTTGTCTCATTTTAAGGCTTTTGTGAAACAAATTGTCATGTTTATACGGTAGTGAAACTCCGATGTTCTCATCTTGTTTCTGTCAATGATGATGATGATGACAACTGTCCAACTTGGTGAAGCTTGTGAAAAGTCCTCCTGCAGTCATTCAAAATACATTCAGTCGGTAGTACTACCACTGGGACGGGATTCTAAAATTCCACTGAAAAAAGTTGATTGTGCTGTCACAGAAACAAAATCTGAACACTTATTTGATGATCTCAGAGAACTTCAACATACTCATACTGGGAGCGAAACCGTTTGTGTTCCCGTTGGCAAGAGAACATTCAGAAGCATCCCTTGGCTGTGGCACCCTTTCGGTACCTAGCTGCCATGCCGAGGATGCTTGAGGACTGGGATACCACCATGTTACCCAAGCGTAGACAGGGTGAGTCGAGATGCAGATGTCGGGTTCGAACCATGAACCTTCCGGTCTGCGAATTCGCGCTCTAACCACTGAGCCATCTTGTCTCCGAGAGCCAGAAATGAATAATCGTGACGAAAGCCAAGCAAGGCATCCTTAATAAAGTGAGATTACATGTTCAAACCAAGCATAATTTCGGCCGATGCGTCCAAATTTTCAATAGACGACGTGCTAATGATGGGGACAAATCACTCGTGATTTGCGTATTCGGGAGTTCGACATAATGCACGAACTTACCGAGCGTAAGGTTCGTCGCACGCCCTCAACCGCTGCACCTCGACTGCTCCGATTGGCCACCCTGGTAGTATCTCAGCCCTCGTGCTTCCTTCGGGTGACGCGGCAGCTGCGCACCGAAAGTGTGTTACCGCTGAACGATTATCATTATTGTTATTATTGAACTTTGATTTAGAATGAGTTAAGTGTGCTTACAGCTTCCGTCTTTGTGCACTCTGTTTTATGGACTCCCATGAACCTAGCGTACCCGTTTGCTTAATTTTGCCTAGAATGGTTCATCTTATTCCTAACTAGCCAGATGACGTGTATTTCATCTTGGTCTCTTGAAATTTCGACGCAAGCATTCCTGAAAACCGAAAACTCAAATGGAAGCTGATATTCTTCAAACTACTTGCTAAGTCAGTATCCAGAGAACTACGTTATATAGTTAGTAAAAGGACGCACTGTTTTCCTCGATCACGAATGCAAAGTATGCGAACATTTACATTAAGGCAAGCAGAAACTGACACTGGTTTCTGCCAGAGGGTTAAAAAACATGGGCTACAGACCAATATTGCTCGTGCGTATGAGACTGGTGATCGTTTCCCGGCGTTTATGGCTTCACTGAATCCCAAGAGTCTGCTGGATGAGTTTGTCCGCCACCATTATAAGCGACTTTTCAGAATCTCACAAGTGACCTGTTTCCGCCATAAGGCATGCGGTTGATGGAGTCAAGGTTCACGGGATTCGTTGACAAATATCCACCGCATTTTTGGTCTAGGTTGATTAATTTCTATGGATGGTATTTAGCTATACATTTGGAAATTAGACGTTCATCAGGCAGAGGTTTGTGTGTTCGCCGGACTCGGTACGGCTTGGAAGTGCTTCGGTCCGTTCCATGGATATAGTTATCCGCGCAGCCGCAGCTAAAGTGCTGTGATGTAGCATCGGACTTATGTTACTGGACGAAGTATAACAGCTGTCAAGAGCCGTAGTTGCACTGACGGATAGTCTCTATCGAAGGTCTTTCTCCTTATTTTGATTGTAACGTGGCCATGTTCAACTCGTTAGCACGGAGTACTTTTTTTCGGACTATGTGGGACCGTCCGTTGTTGGTGTGTGTTTGATGCGTCGTATACTGAGCTTCTTCATAACCATCCCTTGTCTTATCGTAGAAATTTGTCGCACAAATGTTTGGAATTGTGTAGTTTGCATTCGGCGCCTGAAAATATAGAAAACAAAACAAAGGTACTGACCACTCTACGTAGCTCGGCAATGCGTTGAATATTGTAATCCGCCGTTCGGTTGTCAAGCGACCTCGGAAAGCCAAGCTATCGTCTTCGAATTTAGGCTCGTCGGGGTGGACATATTTGAATGAGTAATAATACCAATACTTTGAAATAATTAACTAAAAGGTTCACAAGGATTAAAACAGCCGAGCTTTTGTAGTGTAGGAAATCATAGTGACCTAATGCGAACTACAAAAGCAGCCTAAGGAGCTACGCATCATGCACTTGCATATGGGGTAACCCGTTACAGTCAAAGTGAATAGTTCCCAAAAATAGCAAATTAAGGGGTCCCTAGCCACTGAGCTATCCCGCCCTAAGAAGTTCAGCTGCGAGTCTGAAACAAATTTCAGGGTTGACTGCAAAATCATGTGAGTAATGTGCTTCGTCATGTAAAGGAAGTTGGAATCAATGTTAGCCATCACTTGTGATCGCATCTAATGGCGCTTTTTCAAAACTAGTTGTAACAGCGAGGTTGATTATTCTTCGACATATTAGCTTGGTGCTTGTTGCGTTTGAAGCCCGCTTTTACACCCAATTTCAAGGTCAGCCATGTTATGATGAACCCCTGAATGCGCGTAAAACCATCGACAGCTCCTAAAAATACTCACTTTCATCATCTCTTTCTATGCACCCTTCCTTTTTACAGACTCCAAGTGGGTCATTCCGAAATATCCCCAGCGTTGCCTTACACAACCAATCAAATACTCAGCTGCCTCTTTTCAGCCGAAAGGCTCCAGAACTCGATACTGTCACTTTAGACGAAGTGTGCATGGCTGAACTGGACACCTCTCCATGTAAACGTCTTGGTGGTTCAATGGTCAGTCTGGCAAGCTGGAACAGCGTGTCAACCTTGGATTGTCCTCAGTCATCGGACAACCGTTTCCACAGGCTTCAGGCGAATGACGGGAGCTCGGCTGTTTGTGAAACAGTCAGCCACATAGGTGTGACCACCAGGGAAGACCTTCGTCGTTCATTTCGTATCCCCACGGCGGTCCGACACTTGGGTAGCTCACACGGAGGTGCTTCGAGGAGAGAAGGACAGAAAAAACAAAAGAAACATAAGATGAGCAGCATTGGTCATCTGTTTCAACGCCCATCGGTGATTGCAAAGCCCGTCGGCGCTACAGTGGTTCCAACCAGCACTTCCAATCAGTGCCCTGCTACCAAGGTGAACCCATCGCGTCGTGAAAGTCTTCTTCGAGGCATATTTTCACGTTGAAACTCCATCCAATCCGGACTGCATCATTTTATCTCGCTTCGGCACATGATTCTACTACATTCATACTGATCTGATAACATTTTGATGGTCGAAATCCGCAATGCACACTGTGACTGTTTTATATTGCTGTTGAATATCTTTCGTCTTCTGCGACATTCGCTATATTCGAAACTGCAACTCTGAATCGCATCTGTCATTCTTTATGAAGTTCTAAAAGATGTATTTGTACACAGCACACTAGGTGTATATATATTAGGAACTGCTTACTTTATTGTAGTTCTTTTCTCCGAGAAAACAGATCGGGTCACGAATTGGTCAACTAGTGGTGAAGTGTGCGCGGCCGTGCCGTCCGACCGAACACGGAGTTTTTTCCGTGGAGGTTTTGTCTAGTGACGTACCCATTATCATTGATGGCTCTTGCTCGAGAATGCCCCCCCCCCTACGGTTCTCTAATGCCACTCCCAAACGAAACGAACACTTTTAACAGAACCCCATCCGTCAAATTTTTCTTCATATTGATCTGTTCGATTCATCAGCTGTTCTCACTCGATCAAGCCCGTTTGTGTAAGTGAAATGTGGGGTTGGGGACACTGTTACAAATAAACAACACATCATCTATAGAGGTGATAACCACAGACAGGTGGATTTTCCCATGGGGACACGACAAACCCATTACGTCCCGGACTTGTTTCTGTGGTGTGCAAGCATCCAAGTGCACTTTCAGATACAGCAGACGGTGTGATGTAGCGGTGGTGTATAACCTTACTCCACACTACGGTACACAGATTCCGTGGTTTGCTGTGCTACGGGATGCCACATTTGGACGCTGTCTGTCTCGCTTTGGCTGGTAATTTAATCGTGGACCAGATGAACGTCTTGGCTTTCCAGTATCTTCTACCACTGCCTGGAACTTTGACTCTGTTTACTCGGTTGCGTCGTCATGCCAATGAGACTGAGTTGGTCGCTTTCTGGTTGAGTAGATCCCGAAGATAGCTAGTCTTCTTCAGCAAGGAGAACGTCAACAGCCGTTGGGCATGGTCAGCATCGTAGTTGCCACTCATAATTTCATTCCAATCTCAAATAACGTGTCTAACTTTAATGGGGGTTTGTTTACGTCGGCTACTTTCGCCCAACGGTCTAGGGGGATTGAGTCCGCTGTTGCACTCTACCAGAGGTTAGAGCTAGAATGTCAGGTGGAGATTGAAGGTAAGCGCCACCCGCTGATTAGCTCCAACCTCCTCGTGATGTAGCTTCGTACATTATGCATTCCATAAACTCAGATCATACCATAAATCAAGTCAATCAGTCGGAGATGCTAGGCTCCATTTGATCTCAAGCTTATCTGTGCGCAGGTACCATTATTTCAGCTGATGTCCTACGACTTGTCCTCTAGCTTGAAGTGCTGCATGAAAACTACGGAGCTTGTGGACGCGATTTGGTGTAATTCACATATGTGTCTAGTCCTCGCCAGTCAGGTAACATTCTTAAACGAATGTGAAGTTTGCTGGGCGCCGCCTGTTTGAACCTCTGAAAAGTATGGTTAGGCTCTAACTAGCGCCAGCGCACCGTTTCCTTCTAGATTTAGTAAAACCCGATTAAGTAAGCCGAACGAATTCATATCCAAAAACCCTCTTTACACTGCAACATTCGCCTGTGCTTCTTTTTTTCACTGCTTCTCGACTGATGGTCATCGTGTTACGGTTGGCTATCGCAGAGTATTTAAAAACCACTTTGGTGTACTGAACGTAGCGTGTGCAGATGAAGGCGGGATCGACGCTGACTACTGCACTGCGCCAGCAGTAGAAGGATGAAGTATGGTAAGAAAAGAAGGCACGAAGGGACCAGCACTCAGGGAAATCGATGGATTACACCGCACCGAAACTCAAACCACCCAGATAGCATGCCGGAGTGAGACAGCATTGGCAAGTTTGGCCTAGCTGCTTTCTTCAATGAGAATTGCGTGAGTTATATTAAGGAAGGTTCGGAAATTCCACAGTATCTTGCATTCGGAAACTCTATGCCAACGAATGTTTGGATGAAAACGCTTTGTTCGGTAGATGGTTATTGGACCCCCCAACTAACTGCTAAATCCTATTTGTGGTGGGTGAGATAGCCCAAGTGGTTAGAGCACGAATTTACTGACCGGAAGGTCTATGGTGGTTCGAACCCGACCTCTGCCTCTCGACTTCCCTTGTCTAGGCTTGGGCAACCTGCCAGTATCCCAGCCCTCGTGCAACCTTCGGGTGGCATGGCAGTTGGGCACCGAAACAGTGCTACAGCCGAACGATTTGTGGTCTTAGATGTACCGATTCGTTCCGATGTCCTTGCTTCCACACCATTTCAGTACACTTATACCACAGCCAACTAACTCCTACCGTGCTTCGAGATCACCGGCATTCCATTTTTCGAAGGTGGGTTACATGTAAGTCAAGCTGGTTCGGGAATTTACCTGTACGACGTTTCTTGAAGAGGATCAGTGTGCTGTTTACAGAAGATTGCTTTCGTCCATGAATGACCGACGTGGTCTTATCATTTCGCTGTTTGTTGTATACGACAATAATTATTGGGCCTGGGCTAGGGCTCGAGATAGCCCAGGGGTTATGGCGCCAATCGGAAGGTCCGTGGTTCAAATCCGACCTCGGCATCTCAGCCGCTCCTGTCTAGGCTTGAGCAGCCCTCATGCTTCCTTCTGTGGCCTGGGCGTGTTATTTGCCTGTTCTACGTTTCAACAATAGCTAGTGCAAGATCGAATCGTTCAGTTGTAGCACTCTCTCGGTGCCTAACTGCCATGCCACCCGAAGGTTGCACGAGGGCTGGGATACTGCCAGGTCGCCCAAGTCTGGACAACGGAAGTCGTTAGGCAGAGGTCCGGTTCGAACCACGGACCTTTCGGTCAGTAAATTCGCGCTCTAACCACTTGGGCCATCTCGCCCCAGCTACTGCAAGGAGAAGAGGCATCTCAATTCGTCCTAACTTCATTTGCTATTCTCGGTGCATAATTGATTTTTGTTTCAAGCTAGTCGCTCCGTTGAATAACAAATCATAATAACGAGGACGTTTTTGTGTTGCCGCAGATGGTTCGTCTGCGTTTGCAGAACGCAACGCTGTCGGAAGTGATTTACAAAACGGCTTTCTTCACGCTGTCTCAGATGACTCGTGAGATAACTGTCACTCTGTTTTTCCTCTGTGATAGCGCGTGATTCTGGTTGTCAAGCTGAATTTGTTGCACTCCTGTCACTTGGAACTTTCCTATGGGTGCCAAATGCCTTGTTGTAGTGGAGTTCTACCAGAACTGATCTTTTAGCCAATTAGACCGGGTAGAACTCTTCCATCTTTCGCACAGGGGCCTCTGGATTTATGTGTACTAATTACCTTGGACTGTTTGCCAAGAAGAACTCGAGATAGCTCAGTGAGTTAGGCGCAAAATTGCTGACCGGAAGTTCCGTAGTTTAAACCAAGCCCCGGCATCTCGACTGCTATCGCCTACAGTATCTCAGCCCTCGTGCTTCCTTTGACAGACGTGGCAACTACGCATCAGATGACCGTTAGAGCTGAGCGATCATCATTGTCATTATTCTTGCCAGGCCGTCTATCACTGAAACATACCCGGAGCGGTAATTTGTGATCGTACCTTACTTAAATCTCTCTGTACCACACAACGTCTAGGTGGATCCAACGTTCGCTACTTTTGATCGCATTGACACGTGTCGCCTTGTGCTGTCTAACTAAACCAGCAGAGTGTACCCTTCCATTTCAACTACACAAGTGAAATGGAGGGAGACAAAACTAGCCTGTCGTCACTAAATTTGTGTCCGTTGATCTCCCTATCAGCCTCAGATATGTAAATTTCTTGGCTGCCTCCGCTGCTGAATTGCCAGCAGTATGGTCTCCACATACCAGATCGACAGCATTCTCACCCCGATAGATTTGAACACTAATGTTTGAAAGAGTTCACCCACGATGAAGTTAATAAAGATAGAGAGAGAGAGGCTACCCTGGAGCCAATCCATACGGGCGAACGGAATTCGAATTCGAATGGCTCGTCAGATGACTTATTAAAGCACATCTTATCTCTTGTAAAGCGCGATAAGGTTCCTGGACTGGACGGTTTGCATCCATCTTCAGAGCTAAAACTTACTGGTGAATCAGCCACATTGACGATCAACCTCATCTTAGTAAAAGACCGAAAGTGTGCGAAAAACGTTGTGGAATCAACTTGGTAGCTGCTGCATTGAAGGTACTGTCTGTTCTATCTTTCGAAGGTTCGTGAGCACGGAGAGAGTCAGACTCGCGAAAATCACGCTGAGTTCCGTCCTGCAAAAAATGCTTTAGGTACATGTTCTCTCTTCTCCAAATCCTGAACTAGCGGCAGTGGTCCCAGCGACCAACAATGGTTGTGTTCCTTTGACTTCGTGGACTGTCAGGCACTACAGCCGTATCTATAGAGCGAAAATGCCCCACGTGAATTCCTGATCCTCATTAAGGCGCTGTGCGCCAACTCCTGTGGACGCGTGAATGTCTGTGGGACGCTTGATTGTAGGAGACTCACTCCTAGCCTTGAATGTCTGTGGGATCGAAATGCTCCCAGGGCATTCGTCCGGACGACATAGCTGTTCTTGGATCTGATGCCATTCCAACGCAGACCATGTTATTTACTCTAAGTAGTTCTGCCTTACGGTTGGCATGCGCTGCAAGACTGGTTGGTTTGAAACCTAACCTCCTGCTTGCGGATGAGCCGATTAAGGTGGTAGAAAGATTCGTCTACATAGGCATCTGTATCAGTCCCAGTGGTCTAGCAAAAGATGTTATTTCCATGTGGATTTGGAAGGCTAGAGAAGCTTTTGTCAACCTACATCATCTGTGGCGAGATTTGACATCACTTTATTTGTCAAGGGTCGAGTGTACAATGCTGTCGCTTGGTTACCTACTTTGTATGATTCCTCGGAGCTCCCTATCTGCATAACCACGCGAAGAGTGGAAGTGAGCTAGGCTAGGTCAAACAATGACTCGGCATCAAAGCATGGAAGCTTACCGAACTTCGCTGGTCATTGCTCTCTGCTTGAATGGAGCTCCTCGGACGAGACACGTGAATGGCTAGGTGTGTTGACAGATATGATCCAGTCGTGGGCGCAATGGTATTCATGCATCCAAGCTATTGCCTTCAACGCACAGCTAGAACGCCATTACAAATTGAGTGTGTTCTAAGTGTTTTAAGTGTGTTCCTTCCAGCTACTGTTCTTTCCTGAAAGCAAACCTCAGGTGCATCGTGCTCAGTTTTTCTGGATTTTACGAAGCGTTTGCAGTACTTTTCGAGTGAGAGAAGCCCTGTTAATCTCTGTCTGATTGACCCAGTGTGATCTAGGTGAACTTGCTGCACCCCACTAGGATCGTGAGGTTGTTATGAACTCCGCAGCTGATAAACTTTCAAGTGATTGTTTCTCCGGAGTATTCACAACTGCGAAACACCAACAATGGAAGTCATGTGTATGCTCGAGTTAGCAACGACAGTTTTGCGGGTATGGCGTTAATTATTTGTACTTTTGTTCCTGTGTTAGTAGATTCTTGGAAATCGAGATGCAGATGTTCCGGAGTCTAAAGAACTTTTGTTTGCACGCCACGCAGTAGATGAACTGCTCGTGAACTCACGTTGCTTGCAACGGATCAAACGGAAGCTAGGAGTGGATTACCGTCACACGTACACTTCGGTTTTACTTGTTGTCATCCCTTGAGTTTCCAGCCCAAACGGTGCAGTCGGGTGGGGAGGGCAATACTGGACTCGTTAACCTTTATCCCTTCCCTTCCTTCTTCGATATTTATCGATCTGTGGCTCAATTTCACCTTCAGCTGAATGTGATTAAACCAGTGTGTGTCCATCTGAGTGGTACTCATATTTTCTAATTTCCAGTGGGATATTTTCACTCCAGATATACCCACCCCATGAAACTATAAAGATTCGGACACAGAACACCAAATTCTTTACATCTTGCAGAACCTGTGAATTTGTAAAAATGCGCTAATCCTGTGCGTTTTTTATTCAAATGTATGTACACAGATGTATGTGTATATGTTTGCCAAGTATGACAGACGTATCGCGTTTTCCCTACGTGTAACTCAGTGAGAATTTCACGTCAATTGGTACATCATAGTGGTGGGAACCAACAAAGGTTTGTACAGACGAGGGTACATAGAAGAAATCCAGATGAGCCAATAGTGGGTCCGTTTTCTCCATAGGTCCTTCTTGAGCTCTATGGTATCGTTTCATTTCAAAAATTGGACTATCCTGTTCACTTGGATACTCGCTCAAACGATGTCCATCGACTCGACATATTTTCAAAGGATGCAAGGCGATGCGGTGCGAATATCTATAATCATCAGGGATAATGGGGTATCGATTTATGGGTCTGTGGGTCAGAGAACCCATACAATTGGGCATGTGTGAGCACTTTTTAGGATTTTGTAAACCCGGGTTATCTTCGGCGGTCACTGTTCTAGCATGTGGCCTATGCGTGTGGTTGTTGGTTGTAGATACCAGTGGAATGTCATTCAAACATTCTCTGGCAGTCTGCTGCCCTTCCGTTGTATTCTCAGATGTACGTGCCGCGTCACGGTTCAGCGCAAATTCCGGTCGATAGGTGCATCGAAGCCAGAACGCCAGTTCGATCAGTTCAAAAAATAGCATACAGCTGAACCCGAAACAAAACGAACTCAGACCGCCAATTTCACTGAACAACTTTGGAAGTGAATACAATTCTTCTTCTATCATCTCTGTCAAACCTTCGGCTTGGATTAAGACTAGTCTGACCAAATTGGCCTTCTTGTTGTCATCTTCGACGTGATTGAGTTTCTTGTAGGCCACCATATGGCAAGCAAGCGGACAAGTTGACGAATTGACCAGCGCGATGGGATGATTGTGATGACACCAGTCAGGGCATTTGGCTGCGAGGAACGGTTGAGCAACTTGGTGGTTTAGACTTCGATTCCGGTAGGCGCGTTGACGACGCATCACGTCTAGCGGACACAGACATCCACATTTTGTATGATAGTGATGACAAATTGTGTGCCACTGGCATGCCACCTGCAGAGAGAATAGAATGGATCAGCTGATTCGCCCACGTGACCAGGCAGATAATGAGGTGTCAATCAATGCAACACGGTTGGAGCAATTAACCTGTATACCAGGTATGCACAGAATCCTGATTCTCTCTCTCGCTTGTTTGGTGGAATCTACTGAGTAAATAAAGGAGAGCGGTGTGAGCAGTGTAATCTTATGCTGCTGTGCGAACCAAGAATCAAGTCATTCATTTGTAAAATCCACTCAAACAGGAGTGAAACTTCCATCTGTGAAGTCGTCACTCAACACGTGACCACGTGATGTGGTTTCCGTGACTGAAGGCTGATTGGACCTGTATTCTCTCTAAGTTCGAGTAAATCGCAGTGCTCGCGACCGAATGATTGGCGCTTAGATGGCTAAGCCTTTGACGACCGAATTGGGATACGTATGTGCTTGGAGGTTTCAGGTAAGTCTCCCTTCTAAATGGAAATGAGTGTATTTCGCTAAGAACTTTGTTTATTTTTCTTTCTTGCAAGTTCTCTACTGATGTTACTCTACATCTCCTGCCTGGAGAGCGATTGGTTTCTTCGCTTCCTTGTCAACCTCCAATAGTTTGTTTTGTTCGGTAAAACGGCCCAGCAACTGACAGAATAACCGCACTGAAGGAGACGATATTCACTTAAGATCAAAAATTGAACATCCTTTTTGTCAACTGTTTGACAGAAGGTTTGGTCGCGATGTATCCTGAGTGCCGCTCGTGACCGACTGATATAGTATTTAACCACCAAACAAAGTGTTGCCTCTGTTAAACACCTAAAAAGGATTGGACGACCAACAATGTGCTTCTTGGCTTTTTACTTTGTGTTACATTCATTCACCGGACGATATCCAGTTTTCTGTAGTCGCAATAGGTATTGCAAAGTGTTTTTTTTCTTATGGAAGTTTTTGTTCTTTGCCTATAACAGTAATAACGTGCAAGATTAAACAGAGAACTAACTTGGTCATAGTCAAACTCATGTCCCAGCAATCGCACTGGGTCCAGTCTGCATGGCTTTCCTCTCGTGTTCAAACGCTTGGTGACCGTTTTGGAATAGAACACATTGTACGTGAAACCGGGTTTGATGTATTCGTATAGATATCGACCGAAATTGTCCAATGGAAAGCTGCGCGGCTCGTGCACAATGATCAGTGGTCGACCGGTGAAATTCCTGTGCGGTTCGGTGAGTTCCACTGTGACTGCAAACTGTTGTGTGTGTGGGTGGAAAGGTTGAAGAAGGAGTGAAGGAATGTGTTCAGTTATCTTGCATTTCGACCTGGAGTTATCTAGGGTCAGAGGATAAGTTCCCGTTCGAATCAGAACATCGGCAGTGCAGGCAGTTTTAACAGCTGCGCCGAGCTCAACTCTACGAATGCCGACTGATTCGCTCAGTCGAAAAAAGTCAAATAACCGCGCTGCATAGATGCACCTACACACAATTCGAGTACACACCAGCGCGTGAGTGACCAGAACTGTCACCCTTTTTCTGGGACTGCAAGGGTCACTTATATTCACTGGACTACCTTTTCTTCCTGCCAAGTGAAAACCAATCTGAACAAGTTTGATAATAGAAATAATAAATAATTGTTCAGCTGTAGCACTCTTGCGGTGCCTAGCTGCAGTGTCACCCGAAGGAAGCATGGGGGCTGAGATACTGCCAGGTAGCCCAAGCCTAGACAGGGGAAGTCGAGAGGTGGCGGTCGGGTTCGAACCACAGACTTTCCCATCAGTAACCACTTGAGCTATCTCGCCCCCCTGAACAAGTTTGCGACAGAAGCATATCGTGTCTGTTTTCGCGGTGGAGGTGAGCGAGTAGACCAGCCCACACTAAACGTGACACGGGCAGTATAGTTTAAAATGAATCCTATGTCGACTGATTCGCTGCACTTAGTTGTCAAGAAAGGTTGGAAACTGTCGATATGCTAGAGGAATGTATAGTGCCGACGAGGTGAATCTGAATAATGCAATATAATAATATAACATAATATATGATATAAGGGGTTGTTTGGATTTGCGTATAGCTAGGGACGCTTATTCTTTCTGGTTGTACTAAATTCGTACTCGAACCTATTCATATTTTTTATGTATAGAAGGTTAACCTTTAAACTGAATGGGACTGTATTGATACGCTTTCCCCAAGCCTATTGCGCCTCACACCTTTCGAGTATCAGTCCATTCAGACCGTATCGTTTATCGCTCCGACCGACTACAGGATCACTTACCATGAGGTTGATTCAATCGGCTTCGCCTACCTAGCAGGGGTATCGCAGCATCCCATCCGACCATAGTTGCCAGGCAGTAGTGATTTGAAAGTGACCATATGACAGGGCTAGAAACAAATTGATGCGTGAGCGCAGTGCATTAGTCTGTTGTGTGTGTTTGTAAGATAATGTCGTTGGAAAACTGAACACACTGTTCGGGCTATGTGGAGATAAGCGCAGTGCAATGATCGGGTTTGCACGAACATGCTACATCATCGTTGGTAACTTCCAAAGTCGATGACAGATGTCAATCGTTCAGCTGTCATGCCACCTGAAAGAAGCACGAGGGCTGGCATACTGCCAAAGTCTAGACAGGGGGAGGTCGGTTTCGAACAACAGATCTTCCGGTCAGTAAATTCGCGCTCTAACCATTGAACCAGACCACAATGTGCAAGATGCATGATGCAATCCCATTGGTACAGAGACACCTCTGGTGATTACGAACAAACATCTAATTTCTCCGAGCATCGACATAAAATAAATAACTTTGTTTCTTGGAGAGACTACTCTGTGTGTGTTTGTGCGTGTGCAGGCTGAGCGAAGTAATGACTAGTTTGAAATGCTTCAAGAGAACAGTGAGTCAGCTGGGGAGACCAGACCTTTAATGATAAACACAAGTTGAGTTAATCCAGACCAGATAATCATTCCACCTCAATCGACCGAACAATGCCACGATATTACGATCCCTAAGCGATATAAAGTGCATTGGAACATGATTCGAATCTCTGTAGAAGCATATCCACTGTCAAGACAACCAGTAAACGGCACTCATGTAGAATCAACAAGTGAGGTTTTCTCGAACTATAGAACGTGACCCTAAACGGGACCGGAATTCGTGTAATTTTTTTTACTAGCCCTTGGTTCTCAGTGCTCTGACATAAACACAAAACGACATCGAGTTAGAAAAGGATCTGAACAGTTCGTTCTCCGTCCCCTGAGAAACGGTACCAAAATTTAAACCCATGAAGTGAGGCAGACGAAACTGTCGAAATTGAGACGTTGTCCCGAGACTGTGTTATATCAACCTCTGTGAAATGGGAATTTCGTGATTGGCAGAGAAGCATAGAATATCATAAACGAGAGATTCAGTTGGGTCTCTCGTGAAAATCAAATTGATTTGCAAATCAGTATATTTCTCGAAAACAGTCCAATTTGGGTTCAAGTAGAACATAAGGTTGACGGATCGGGGACTGCGCTTACTTGATGAGCCCGAAGCAGAAGGGTGAAGCCGGTCGTGGGCTGTCGAAGAGTTTTCAGCAACCTTGTGAGTAGTTTCCTTTATGGCAGAGAAGTTGTTTGATCGTCGTTTCGTTTACGGTGAGGTGGGGGGGGGGGGTAAGTCACACATACACGACTGATATTTGGACAGGAAAACTAGCTAGTGCAAGCATGTCTTTTATACTTCAAACAAACAGAATCCCAAATTTCGCAACTCGAACTACTAAACACCAACCCTGTAAAACTTTAGCTGACTTAACTAACTAACTTAACTAACGCAGTAATTTGCAAACCAAATTGGTTTTCTGTTTGTAGTCACACCACTCCCGTTTGAACGTTCGTGTTCCTGTTCTGGAGTAATTATTCCGGGGAGTTCACACCAAAGGGAAGTACTGGACTCGAGTTTCGCTCTTATTAGAGCCCATCAGCAGTGCATATCCAATGGCCGTGCCGGGATCTGAACCCCGGACATCTGATATGCAAGGCGAGCGTGTAACCACTACTCCACCAACGCACGCTGGACGCACCTGAATTTTCACGCCTGAACATGCGAGGATCAAATGAAACCCGGGTGAAGCTCTCATCTATGATGTTCATCAACTGAACGCGCAAAACAGCGGTTGACAGAAACTTCGGAACTGATGAGCCCGAAGAAGGGTGAATCGAGTTGTTCGCTGTTGAGGTGTTTTAGCAACCTTATGAGTAGTATATTACGTCCATTTCCATCTCACCAATAATGGAACAAGGGAAATGACATAAAAGGCGTCGTAACATAGAAAACCACCAAAGACGCTCAAGCTGCGAACGAATACCACATCGCATGAATTGTGAACGAAACGGAGAACACCACAGGGAGGCCAAGTAGTTAAATTCCGCCGCATGCGCCTCACTACCTGAATACCTATTGGGAACTTGTGTTACAGGGGTAACCTGACTTAATCGAATGCCCTTTCTAATAGACTATTCTGGTAACTGTTGTCGCTCAGGTCGATCACACCTGCCTATATTGCGGAAGAGAACAACTTCGAAAAATCCGGCTACATCAGTAGGCATTTTATCACAAATCCACTTCGCATTCCATGTAGTCAAACAATTTATTTGTGCAGCCGTGATTTCTACGTAGAAAAATTAACAAGTTTGACCGGCGGCAGATTGATGCGACCGAAATTCTTACTGTATTCTATGAAATGGGATCGCTCTCTGATGGGATCAGTTGGTTTTTCCCCACATTTTGCACAAAATTCCAAACGTGCATCATAGTCTACTAAAGTTTCTACAAAATGTTTGCGGAATCACCACAGCAGCAGGTTCTGACAGGCGACTCATCGATCCATGCGGTCAGGCTAGTAATCGATACGTCTTTCAAACGAACTAGCATACAACTGCGAACACATCCATCGTTTAAATCGGACAATTCAGTCGTGTTTAGCGCAAGCAGGTGGAGCGGCGACAAACTTCTGAAGATCGAAACTAGCTGCGCCGAAAATTAAACCCTGACGTGCGGTTTTAAACAAAATTCAAATGGCGGGAATTTTCCATGGGATGAAATAACATGGTGTGTATCGATATCTGCAGTCTGGTCAGAGCATGTCTTTTCAGTCATGAACATCCACTAAGGTCAGTTAATTCAGTTTAGAGGGAGAATTGGGTAATCCCTCCGAAGGGAACATTCCCAGAGCGTGGCCGTTCCTCTGTGGAGGTCACACATTTACTCCCAATGAGAAGTGTTCACTTTATATCAATGAGCGGTTTGTCTCTTCTGAAATCTCAGCCGTTAGCTCACGTCCAAATGGATTTCATGAAGCTATTGTAAAATTATGCTTTCAGAAAACCGGTTTCCTGCAATTAACTTGATTTCTAGGCTACAGTTGCGTTTATTCCATTGGTGGAAAATGACACCAGTTAAGAAGCAGTGAAAGTCTCCTGAAGATTTCATTCTTAGCCTAGTCAGCTCGCACAGGCACCAAGACGAAGACTGTTATGGTTCTCAGCTGATTTCACTCAACACCAAGTATGTGAAAAAAACTCGGTTCGAGGGCGAATCGGTTGGGGGGGCGGGGAACTGGTAAGTACAAAGGTGACAATAATCGGAGTAGGACAGTCAACCAGAATTTATAACTCAGTTCATACGAATAGCTCTCATGTCGGTTGCGCATAGTCACCGATTGCAAGGTAACCAACAATGCCCATGGCCACGTTTGTTTTGTTCCAACTGGGTCCATCCTGTTGGCGTTTAAAAAGGTCCTTTGACATTGTGATGAACTTTGTCCGATAGGGTGAATTCTTACTGAAGTGTATGTACACGAAGGGCCCTGTCGGCTGGTAGTCACTTGCCATAGTTGAGAAACTTACCTGTTCAGCATTGTGATCAACACTCACTTAGGAAGGAAATGATGGCAGTTATCCTTCACTCATGGAAACCACATCAGTTAGTCATGTGTCGATCAGCTGCAGACTTTGCAGCCGGTGATATTCTTGTTCTTCTGGGCCATTTATAAATCAGTTTATTCTTCAGGTCCTCAAACCTGGCATTCAGGTCATCCCTGCACCTACCATTCTAATGGAATTAAGCTCACATTTCTACTGGCCTGTGGTTTCAGTTGTTCGGGGGTCGAATCATGGGTTTAACCTCAAAAATTGTAGCCGGGATGTAAGCATGGCGAAATGATAGTCTTAGATTTCCTCGAAGACGGTTTTAAAAACATTGAATTCAGCTTCAGAGCCCCTTATTCATGAGCTTCTCAAGCGAATTTATCATATTGATGCTCAGTGTCTTTGGTGAGAAGAAAGCGTACTTGGTATTTCAAACCAAATGGCTAGGAGTGACAAGTTCAAGCTCAAAACAGTCAGAATGAAACAATGTTGGATATAGCGAAACGCACTCATTTGCATACTAATTTGTTTTTTCGAGAGACTCACCTAGAACCCAGCTGAACCTCTCGTTTGTGATGTTTCCAGGTAATTGAATGTGCTGCAACAGGCCGCCTCATGTTTCAGCCACTACGCTATTCAAGATATCGCGATACATGTATATCTTTGTAACGTACTACTCATAAGGTTGCTGAAAATTCGTTGAGATCCCACGACTGATTTCGCCCTTCTTGGGGCTCATCAGGTAGGCACAATCCCCGAGTTTCCGTCAAACTTATCTTCTACTTGGAACCGAATTGCTCGAAATTAGCGAAATACACTCATTTGGGTTCAAGTAGAACATATGGTTGACGGAAACTCGAGGACTGCGCCCGCCTGATGAGCCCGAAGCAGAAGGGCGAAACCGGTCGTGGGCTGTCAAACAGTTTTCAGCAACCTCATTTGTAGTGCACTACGAGTGTTGGGCATACTTTGTACTTTTCATTATTAGAGAATGTTTTG